AGAGAGAGAGAGAGAGAGAGAGAGAGACTAGACGTGAGGTATTCAGATGTTTGACAAATGGTTGTCTTAGATGTGGTTACAAACGACGTTGTTGAAAGAGGGCCTCACCACACGAACGACGGGGAATTGAGAGAGAGAGAGAGAGAGAAATTGTAAATATGAGGTATTTGGATAATTGACACGTTGTTATGCCAAATATGGTTACAAACGCCGTAGTTGAAAGAGAGCCTCACCACCCACACGACGGGGAGTTCATCGAGCGAGCGAGAGAGAGAGAGAGAGGGGGAGAGAGAGGGAGAGAGAGAGAGGGAGAGAGAGTACGTTCTTCAAAGGTGTTGGATGTGTGACAGGTGGTTATGCTAAATATGGTAACAAACGCCATTGTTGAAAGAGAGCCTCACCACCCGCACGACGGGGAGTTCCTCCACACACTGCAAAGAGAGAGAGAGAGAGAGAGAGAGAGAGAGAGAGAGAGAGGGTATTCCGGATAAGAACAGAAAGGTAGACAAGGGTTTTATAGAGGGAGGCTGCTACCATGGTGACACAGACATAGACAGTGAAAGGTCAAATGACAAAAACAAAAGTTCAAGGGGAACGGAGGAAGGCGCTTGTTATCCAATCTTAGGCTGATTTGGAACATCATTTTCTGGTTCTGGCATGTGCAAAACTGATATTTGTTACCAAGGGTGTAATAGGAATTATGTGCACAATCCTCTAAATGATGTAATGAGTGTTGTATTCATAACTATACTTTTAAACGCTCTTTTGTTTTAGGGGAATGAGACCAAGAGATGGTCATACAGAGAGAGGGAGAGAGACATACTATCCCTATATATAACGAAAACTCCATGACATATTTTGTATTCAGCGCAATGAGAGTAAGAGATGTAATACACTTCTCTATGTATATTATTCTATTATATGCAATAGTCCATGAAACATATAGAAATACATATATATATATCGTCAAATATTATATATATATATATATATATATCGTCACAAATAGAACTGCCCGGTAAACCGTAGGCAGAAAGAGAGAAGAGGACAACAAACGAGGTATATATATACATATATATATATATCATTTACGATTCGTTATTATTTTTTTTTCAAAATTGATATTCAACGTTGCTCAAACATTCCATGATGTTTTCCAACAATCTTTCCAACGTTGTCGCGTGTTGAAAATGGTGTTGAATCAACATTTGGCGAACAGTTAGTCGAACACTTGCAAATTGTTGAAGGAATTTTGTCCAAGTGGTTGGTTCATGGGGCTTTCCAACATATATAACGTTTAATGAGTTGAAGCAACGGTCCTTCATTGTGTGTTTATCGGTCAACGTGAATGAACCTTAGAATGTTAAAAAATTGTGTGTACACGACCTGGGCAACAGTTAAATAAGGCAAAAAGGTTAAATATCATAATATATGAAAAGTGAATTTTTTTTCTGTTGAACAAAATTGTTAATTATTTAGTACACCGCTGAATTTTCTGAAGTCTGTAAAACAACTTCAAGCACACATACATCCTGGCGATAATTGGTTTCCGAATTGGGAATAAGTTCGCAATTGTCATATGGAACCAAGATTCAACATTCAGTGGAGACAAGAAGGATGGTGGTTGCGGGGAGGAGGGCACAGCAGAGGGGGTGAACCGTAAAACGGGGCGGTACGTGCAAAACAAGGGTGAACCAAAATATGTGAAAGCTGGGCGATCGGGGTGGGGGGGGGAGGGGGGCTTTCACACCACAAAGTCTCACGTAAGAAAGAGATAAGCACGAACCAATTTGGCGACCAAGAAGAAATCATTGATATCTTTCTCCAACATCTTGCTAAATGAACCAGAGTATCGAGTCCTACGAACGTGAGTGTAAAAAATGTCCACAAGAGGACACAGATGTCCCATGAGTAACACAGGAGCACAACCTGGAAACGAATAAAGGCAGCACGACGCTGCCGGGGTCGTAGAGGACATAAGGAGAACAACCAGAAAACAAACAAAGGCAGCACAAAGCTGGGATATTCGCATCCGATATCTAAGCGTCTACTTAAAAGATACTGCACAACGTGGATGAGATATTTACATCGACATCTAAGCTTCTACTTCACCTAAGCGTCCGCTGCAACCCTCTAACTGATTTTGCTCGGCAAGGAATGAGAATAACATGAAAACAAACAAAGGCAGCACGGCGCTGCCGAAAGTCCTATGAGTAAAGTTGACAAGTTCCTCGAAATGAAGAACCCTTAAAAAAATACTATAGCACGAGGCTGAGATATTCACATCGACACCTAATCGTTTACTTGATCAAAACGTCTACTGCAATCCGCTACCTCATCAAAACAACAGCACAGTTCGAGTCGGCCGCCTTGCGAATAAAAAACTTTGCGTATTTTCAAAATAGGGGTATTATTCTAAGCCTTGGAGTATGTCCACCGCAATCCTCAGCCTGATGTTTGGAATGTCGCTTTGGACTATCGGAAATGGTGGCGGATGGTTGCGTGCAATAAAAGAAGCGAAGGCGAGCATGAAAACACCGCAGCTCGACCCGTCCGACTGTTGAGGGATACCATGAACAACCACGTTGGGCTCCAGGAGATCTAATTTCATGTTTTGACCATATTGACGAACTGCTTCGTCACGGAGGTATTTCGTGAAGTTCGCAAGCACATCGGAAGAAAAACCGCCATTGTCTTGTAGGAGGGAGTCGTAGTAGCCCAGCCGTCCTTCGCGGACACATAAATAGGGTCCAATGCACTCGATTTTTATGAACAGGAATCAATACCATGTCGTACGAGAAAATATTCACATCTTTTATCCATCTGGCAACCTTATCATGTCGACATCCACAACTGACGAGCTTGGTTTAGAAAAACGGACTGAAAATGTAAACAGAGGGACACCCAGGCAACGTAGCGTTGCCAAGCAAGGCCAAGTACGACTCTACCACCTCGTCGGAAAGCCATCCCCCCTGGACAAGAGTCTGAAGATTTTTTCTGCTCAACAGAGTAGAACTGGCCCCTTTGCGAATCGAGGAAACCACCTCGTGGCCGTTGCTGAAATCTCCGCAGACGTCCTGCAACATTCTCAACTCTATAGCGCTAAGTTCCTCAGTAGGCAAGGAAACGCGAAAAGATGATGTAGCCCCAGCTGCACAAACACACACGAACAAGTGTGTGGAGGGGCGAATTGGCTAAGAACTGTGTGCCCTTTTTCCAAAAAAGGTATATCCCCCACCTGTGTGTCCGATGAACGGAGAACGGGCGAAATTGAACGTCGTTGAACCCGTTCAACGGGCCTGGGGACCCCCGTTAAATCGCATTTAACGCGAAAACGGGGGTGTTCCGTTCAGTTTTGAAAAACGGAACCAGCGCGTTGGGCCTCTGACACATGGCCCTACGCGCCCAAACCATGAAAATAGAAAAAAAAACAAAAAAAACCGACCCCTACTAACAGGGTGGGGTGGCCAAACATGCCCCTCCCTCCTGAATTTCAAACTGCAAAAGGGAAAAAAGTAGGGGCCACCCCATACCCCAGGACTGTGACCACATGTGTGTGCATGCGGGTGCATATCCTTTTCTTTTTTTCTTTTTTTTTTCACAAATGCTCCAATCTACTCGTCCAGTCTCATTTCCGAAGGGCCCCTACAGATTAGCAAGGACCCCTCGTGGAGCAGAGAGCCTGAGAGAGGGACGTTAGACTTGAAGACTGCCTGGGTGGGCCGAAAATATATAGTCTGGCACTCTGTGCAGCACAGTTATGGGTCACGAATTCTCTGTTTTCTCGTTGTTTTTTTTTTTTCTCGTTTTTCTTTTGTTTTCCCGTTTTTCTTTTGTTTTCTGATTTTTCATCTGTTTTTTCTCGTTTTTCTTTTCTTAGGAATACGTGTAGTGGCCCTAAGGGCCTCTACTCACCACATGCACAAAAGACAGAACATATGGTGGCGTATTATTCCACGTTCTAGCAGAAGATTCATTCTAATTCTGCACATTTGCAGTGGCCCTGAGGGCCTCTACTCACCACATGCACAAAATACAAAGGCCTAGCTCAGTTGGTAAGGCACAGAAGTTGCATTCAGGAGGTCGTGGGTTCAATCCCCATTGGCCTCACGATGTGCCYGGGCAAGCTTGGTGTTCTACCAGCTACAGATAACCCGTTGGCCCCCCAAGCCAGCATTGGTAGGACCTTGGCTGATGTTGTTGGCTGCTATGCAGCGACAATATTGGTCATTAGACACCGCCATGTGGGGTTGGGGGGGGGGTAGGGGCAGGCGCAGTGACTGGCCATTTTTCTCGGTCACGTACCCCAATGCGCCGTGTCGCTCCGCGACTGGAAAAAAAAAACAAAAAAAACAGCCCCATGGTTGGGCCACGACCGAGATGTCTCGGCCACACCCCAGACTGGCCATGGTTGAGATGTCTCGGCCACACCCCAGATTGGCCAGGGCTTAGGTGTGTGTGTGTGTGTGTGTGTGTGTGTGTGTGTGTATGTGTGTGTGTGTGTGTGT